ACGCTCCGGCGATGCTCGCACAGACTCTCAGTGCCCCCCAGGGAGGTCGCTCGCCGGAACACCCGCAGCCGGGCCACTACGCGCAGGACCATCGCCTCCACCTCCGCCCCTTCCTCTCTTCCGTCCTCCCCCTCGCCGTCCCGCGCCCGGACCTGGATCGCCATCATGCTCCCGGAGAGACCCTCCCGACTCATCATGGCCGCGTGCACGGCGTGCCCGGGGTGGGAGGGTAGGCCCGGGTAGTGAACGGCGGCAATCCTCGGGTGGCTCGCGAAGAAATGGGCCAACCTGTGCGCGTTCTCACAGTGCGTCCGCATCCGAGCCGGCAGGGACTTCAGCCCTCGCAAGAGGAGCCAGGCCTCGAAAGGGGGGAGGTTGCCCCCGGCGTGGCGTTGGAGCTGGCGGATGGGTGCTTCTAGATCCAGGAAAGTGGTGCCGGTAGCGTGAGAAAGCTTCCTCCGTCGGCCCGTGAGAACGCCAGCCAGCAGGTCCGAGTGCCCCCCCAGGAATTTGGTGGCGCTGGCGAGGGTCAGGTCGATGCGGAGGGGGCCGACGGCCTGGAGGAGGTAGGGCGTGAGCCAGGTAGTGTCCAGCACCGAGACGAAGTCCTTCCGGTGGAGCCGGGCCTGCCCTTCGGCCATGGCAATGACCGCCCGGACGTCTATGATCTGGGGAGGCGAGGGGGGAGGGAGGCAGTTAGGGGGAGGCACGGTGGGGAGGGGAGATAGGGCCCCACCCCTTCGTTGGCGGCCTCTCTACCTGTAGCATGGGGTTGGAGGGGGTCTCCAGCCACAGGAGCACCCTCGCAGTCGCCGGGTCCGCGAAGACTCGGGCCATGGCAACCTCCAAGGCTCCCAGGTCCGTCATGTCCACCACCTGCGCACGGAGCCCCCAGGAGCCGAAGGGGGCGTCCAGGAGGAGGCGGATGCCCTGATACAGCTCTTGGTTCAGGAGCACAGTGGCCTGGGCCCCAAAGGCGAGGAAGACGGCGGTCACGGCCTGCATACCGCATGTGAAGGCCGCGGACCAGTCGGCGCCGCCTTCCAAGTCGGTCATGACTGCCGCGTGATGGGGAGGGAAGAAAGGTGAAGGTCATGCGGGAAGCGTGAGAGCGGGCGGACTGGCATGTTCATACGGGTCATTCTTGCTCTCAGGGACGACGATGCATACCAAAATTATGATAAAGACGAAGAAAACGAATATCATCATGGATTTACCCCATGCACAGGCTTTTGCTTCATGTCCTAGAGACCTGGCCTTTGTGATGGGCGCATACCTTTTTCCAGCAAGGCCCGGGTGGGATTGCCATGCCGTGCGTAGACAAAGCCCCCGGGATAGGAGCCATCACTACCCCTCTCAAAGGTGGTAGAAAGGTGTAATGGGGGGATCACGTCACGGGAGGAAACGGCTGTGATGTCCTGGTGGTGCAAGCCTGCTTGAGCGAGGATAGTCTCGATCCTTCTTGGCATGTGAGTGTCTGGCAAGAGAGTGAAAAAGTGAAAGCACGTCAATCATACAGGAATGATCCGACGGGGGCAAATTCAAGGGCTTTACGCTTGTCGGCAATGATTGGACGCGCAATCTATGGGTGTTTATAAGGTACGACGAAAATTATACATAAAAGAAATCATGATGAGGGGAAAGATGGAGGTCACAACGCGTGAAGGCAGCACTTGACACACCGATTGCGCACCGAGCTCGAGGTCTCTGGTGAATACTTATATGATATCAAAAAGACCCAAGGAAGCGCCAAGTTCGTGTCGTGCCCCCCAAGCCACATAAAGGCTTGGTCTAGGGAATGCAAGTAGGCGCTTCAACTTGCGACGTCATTGTGTTCGTTGCCTTGGCGAGCTCACGAGCTTCGAGTTGCTGCGACCAGATTTCACAGTTTCAGGTGTCTACAGCCCGTTGTCATAGCCAGACCCAGCTTACACGTAAATATGTAGAAGATAAAGGGTACGTTGGGATGAAGCGCTCTTCCCAACCGTTCACAAATTCCACCAACAGGCCGCTTAGCGGGTCCACGCATCCATGGCTGTGGATTAGCTAGCTGCTTCTTCTTACTCGATCCTACCAATTTGTCAAGGCCGTATGAATCCTGCCCGATTTTAAATCGAAGCCAAAATCAACAGCAATCGCGGAAGTGCCACGGGCACATGGATGCATGCGACGTTCCCTCGGATCCTGTGGTGGAATATGAAATCAGAGACGGTCTCCGGCATGTAAAGCCGTACATTTATTCGTTTTACGCGCGAGCCAAAGGCCGGTGGTGGGGACGCACGATCTTGGATGTGTTTCAGAAGGTATTCAAGTTGTAGGTCAATCCGGTCACGCCTCCCTTCTTGTTGTCTGGGATCCTAATGTCCGTTCCAACGCCGGGCCCAACTGAAGCTCTCCTCTCCTTGCATCCTCCCATTCTTTCCTCTCCAAGGAATTTCGCACCTACAATCCCCAATACTATGCGGACAGCATCAAATCGGGGACCATCACCGTGAACGGACGCCGGGTCTCCCCTGCCCACGTCCTTCGGAACAACGACCTCATCCTCCACAAATGCCACCGACACGAGCCCCCAGTGACAGGCGCCGAGGTGATGTTATGAGAGACATCCCGGCAGACACATGGGCGAGAGAGAGGACAGGGAGGACAGGGAGAGCGGGGGCAGGCAGGCGGGTGGGCAAAGCCAAGTCTCGGGCGCTCATCAACCCTCCCTTCCTCCTCCCGCCCCTCCAGATCCATCCTGTCTACGAGGACTGCCACCTGCTGGTGGTGGACAAGCCGGCCACCATCCCCATCCATCCCTGCGGGGCCTACCGGCACAACTCCCTCCTCGCCATCCTTGCCCACGAGCGCGGGAAACGAGGGGCAGGGCGTGAAGGGGAGGTAAGGGGCGAGAGAGGAGGCGAAGAGGGAGAGCGCGCGGGGAGGGACGATGCAGGTCTGAGTAACGGCTCGGGGGGCGCGGCCAAGGCGCAGGAAGGTAGGGCGAAGGGGGCGGCGGACCGGCTCTTCCTCATCTACCGGCTGGACCGGCTCACTTCTGGGTTGCTTATCATGGCCAAGTCGTCCGCGCGTGCCCATGACCTGAGCGAAGAGCTCCGTGGAGGGCGGACGAAGAAGTTTTACCTGGCGTTGGTGCACGGCAACATGATGGGATTGGAGGGAGGAACGCATGAGCAAGGAGGCGGGAAGGAAGTTCTGTTCGACGACTGGTGTGCGGCCGAGGAAGGGAAGGAGGAC